TTGTGCATAGAATTCGAAGCTTGTTTACAGAATAGTTTCCAATCGTTCATGGGACGGTTTTTGACATCTTGGAACAGACCCGAGAACAGACCTATAGTAATTTTTTCAAAGCTATATAAACTTTATGTGGCTGCTGTGGCGCATTTCCAGTCCACAGACGGAAAATGGAGACGGGGAATGAGGACCGGAAATATTTCCCTCATTTCCCAACCTCATTTATTTGGTTGTCACGATTTTTTTTTTTTTTCGAGAAATTATGGTTAAAAATAAAATAGTATACAAACCTCGACGGGAAACTTCATTGCGGTCTCGAGGTTCAGTTTATCTCGACGCTACGCATCTCGATAAACTATATAACCTCTCAATCAGCAATGAAGCATTTCCCGTCTGGGATTGTAATATACTATTACAAGTACATGTTGACGTATGTCAGGTATGTGAGAAACAAAATGTGGAGTGCCATCCAGAAATACCCTTAATTCATCACCACAGTCTCTACTTCAAGTGGAAAAAAATGCGACTCAATAAGATGGAAGAAGGCAGATCCGGAGCTCATTCCAAAAAGAATGATGAGCGAAGTGGCACCTCCTACTTTCTGAAATTTCTATCATGCGGGTGCAAGAAAGGTTATAGTGGAAGTGTCTAAAAGCAAGCTTCAAATTCTTGTCACTTTGCAAATTTTGCTCCGGCGCACAGTGTAAATTTTTCAGGATCTAGCTGAAAAATAGTATATTACATACCGAGTAGGGAAGTGTATCATTACTGTCGAGAGATTGACTATTAATCTCGAGACAGAAATGAAACCTTTCCTCCGAGGTTTGTATACTATTTTATTTGCAAGCACACCATTAATTATGATTAGTCAATCCTTAGATTATATATAGTTAACACTAAAAGATGAGTAATCAACTTCCAAATATGGTACAAAGATCTCTCTCCAAATATTTTGATTTTGTCTCTCTTACTTTGTTTACGCTGGTTTTCTATAGTAGGATTTCCAAAAATCCGTTTACATTTTGGATCTTTAGACATCTCTCTCTAAGGCAATATGTAAACGAAAAGAACACTATACAAGTCTAGCTAAACAAAGTATATTGTTTGGGTGGTTCCCAATAGCAACCGATTGTCGTACCTGCGAAAATGTCAATATATATTATTGTGTGTTTATTTTATCGACTTTTTTGTGTTTCACTGCTTTAAAGTGGAATTGTTTAAAAATTTATCATTTACATGTTTATAAATTTCGTGAAAGTTTCTTATTCAGGATTCAAAATGACTAATAAGTGTGCAGTGTGTCAGAAAAGAGGAAAACCAGCGAATTGTTTATCATTTCACCCATTAGTAAACAAAACTTATGACATCGACATGATTGAAGGGAAAAAAAAACAGTGTTGGAGGTGCATGTAGGCCACAAAAATACAACATGGTACATATTTAAATTTTGTATTTCTATTTAACACTATTTTTTAGTATTCCGGATAATTTATGATGTGGAAAAAACATGGTCAGGAGCATTAAATTTAAAATCCAGCTCAGTAAGCAAATGGACGTATGTTTGTGCAGGCCATTTTAGCAGTGGAGACTATAGATTTTCAAAAACTGATGCTAAAATTTTTAAAGCCCCTACTGTTCCTGTTGTTGCAAGCACCAGCGCTTCTAGAGTACTGTCCAGGTTGAGGGGTACTTGTCGACGTACTTGTTCATAGGTTTAAGTATGTAAAAAAAAATCATTAATTTTGATTTTAGAATGAATGAAATGAAATTCGCTCTGACTGGTTTGTGATTTCTGTAGAAACAGACCCATTGTTTTGGTCCCATCTCGTGTATTTTTTTTTGGAAACAGTCCAGTTTGCTTTCAGTTTAAGTGCTCGAATTTATCATTTTTAAAACTACCTTTTTCTGGAATTAAATATATATTTCAAAAAATGATTTTTTTATGGGTACGCTTATGGGAGCCTTTGCTTCTAATAAAATACCTCTACGTATTTCTTAGGAATACGTAGAGATTCTTAACACATGTTTGTGCCACCTTGCTCCAATGCTTTTAGATAGGGCGTTACCTATCTTGTCACGTTAGTAGATATTAAATCTATGAGTCAATCAATTTTTTTAATATTAAAAAAATAAAACAAGCATGCCAAAATGTGTCATTCACTGCTTTGACGTTTTTACCTGACATGTTCTCATTGTTGCCAGCAAAGGTAAATAAATTAGAGTGAGGGAAGTCAAATAGGGAAATCGGTGAGGGAAATCGAAGAGGGAAGTGACACAGGTAAAGTGTCACTACCAAATTTTTAAAAATTCAGTAATGACAAGATTACATATATGATTGCAAATAATAGTATATTACATACCGAAGACAGAAATGAAAACTTCCCTCCGAGGTTTGTATACTATTTTATTTGCAAGCACGCCATTAATTATGATTAGTCAATCAATTTTTTTAATATTAAAAAAAATAAAACTAACATGTCAAAATGTGTCATTTGCTGCTTTGACGTTTTTACCTGACATGTTTTCATTGTTGCCAGCAAAGGTAAATAAATTAGAGTGAGGGAAATCGGTGAGGGAAGTCGAATAGGGAAATCGAAGAGGGAAGTGACACAGGTAAAGTGTCACTTCCAAATTTTTAAAAAGTCAGTAATGACAAGATTATACAGGGTGTATATTTTAAGTGATACCACTATTGCTATATCCGAAACAATAAGAGCTACAGGGTCGGTTAAATTAGAAAAAAGTTGCCTCGTTTGATGCCCATTTAAGACTTGTTTACAGTGTTGCCAAATTTCTTTTAGTTTATGAAATACAGAGTGATTTCTAAGAAACGTCCAAAAATATTTCATCATTTATTTCGAAAACTATTGATTTTCGGGACACAATTTAAATTTGAAAGTTTTATAATTTTTCCCGCTCTACAATATGACATCTTCAAATTTTAAATCCGACGTTTCGTGATCGAGATACCATCATCAACTTCATTTTTTCAAATACGGACCTGGATTTTTTATGTCATTTTTAGGAAGCGCCCTTAATTCTCTTTCCAAAAATGACATAAAAAATCCAGGTCCGTATTTAAAAAAATGAAGTTGATGATAGTATCTCGATCACGAAACGTCGGATTTAAAACTTGAAGATGCCATGTTGTAGAGCGAAAAAAATTATAAAACTTTCAAATTTAAATTGTGTCCCGAATATCAATAGTTTTCAAAATAATTGACGAAATAATTTTAGGCCTTTTTTATAAATCGCCCTGTATTTCATAAGCTAAAAGGACTTTGGCAACACTGTAAATAAGTCTTGAATAAGCATCAAAAAAGGCAACTTTTTTCTAATTTAACCGACCTTGTAGCTCTTACCGTTTCGGATATAGCCATAGTGGTATCACTTAAAATATACACCCTGTATATATGATTGCAAATAAAATATTTTATGTCCGATTGACCAATAAAGTGCTATTTATAGAACAGTTTTGCGTCAATAAAGTAGCACATTATTGTACTAGTAAAATAAAGTGCTACTTTATTTTACTAGTAAAATAAAGTGCTACTTTATTGCCTACCTAGACTACCTTACAAGGTAAAACAGGTCCTGACAACCTGCCAAGGTGAAACAGGCCTTGACAACCTGCCAAGGTGAAACAGGTATACCTACGCCAATTTTACTTTTTTCATTAAAATTTTTTAATTTTTAACAAAAACCAGTCGCAATCGTACATAAAATCATGTATATAACGCTTACATAAACAGGCTTTATTGACTCATTATTTAATAGCCTCGCTCGCAAGCTCGCTCGGCCATAAAATTATTCGTACAATAATGCCTTACTTTATGTACTTGTTATATAAATAGCTATTATTTGCAATCATATATGTAATCTTGACATTACTGGTTTTTTAAAAATTTGGAAGTGACACTTTACTTGTGTCACTTCCCTCTTCGATTTCCCTCACCGATTTCCCTATTCGACTTCCCTCACCGATTTCCCTCACTGTAATTTATTTACCTTTGCTGGCAACAATGAGAACATGTCAGGTGAAAACGTCAAAATAGTGAATGACAAATTTTGGCATGTTTGTTGTATTTTTTTAATGTTAAAAAAATTGGATGACTAATCATAATTAATGGTGTGCTTGCAAATAAAATAGTATACAAACCTCAAAGGAAAGTTTTCATTTCTGTCTCGAGATTAATAGTCAATCTCTCGACAGTAATGAAACACTTCCCTATTCGGTATGTAATATACTATTACCGGCTTTTTTGATGAAATATGATTCTTTTTTGTCCGTATATAGGAGATTATGATAAAACAAGATTGAGCATGCACCCAAATAATTTTGCCCCCCTTCCCATTTGAGATTTTCTAGGGGGCAGCTCTTCGGGCTAAGGGTTTGAAAGGGGGGAGGTGAATTTTGCATAAAAACTCATTCCCCTTCAAATTAAAGTTGACGTGTTTCAGGGATTTTTTCGAAAATTTCATAACTCCGAGATAATAGGCGTAACGAGTTTTAAAAGGAACACCATGTATATAGATAAAACCTCGGATAAAACGCACCTAACCGCGGCTAATTTTTTTTTCAGCACATGGTCAAAAAAGTGAGCTCCTGAAAAAAAATAATTGAATTATTTTGGTATTATGTGGTATTATTTAAAAAGGATAACCCACCGTGTATGTGTTGAAGAAAACTATTATCGATGCAGATTTTCAGCGAAACTTAACACTTCTAAATAGAACGCCTACAAAATTTAACTAAATAGACTAAATATTGTGCATATTCTTACCGTCTTGTCCGAGAGATAAGGTACAGCACATTCTGGAATGATGTTAAATTTGAAAATGAACATATGTTTTTAATTGGTTGATGGACATTACCTGAATTAATTTTCAAATAAATATAGGCATGTGATAAAGTTGGGAAATCCAAATAATTCCACCTAAAACGCCAAAATTTCACATTGTGCGTGGTATGTAAACAGCCATTCTAAAAAAAATTAAAAAAGTAAGGTAAACGTACCAATTATTGACACCTTAAGGCAAGAAAAACCTTTTAAAAAATCACCAAGGTTATACTGATCACTTAAGGTCCAATTTATATTTTTTATATCATTTTTTGGACTTTCCCGAACAAGATGACCATAGTTTTATTAGGAGTAACTTAATTTTTTTCGGGAAAAAAAATTTTTGAATAAAATATAACAGAGGCACCAGTTATTGACAGTTCATTTTTTCATAGGCTCCAGTAATTGACACACCAATAATTGACACAAAAGGAAAATCATTTTATTCAAAAATAATATTTATAATCTATTTTAGGCCTCATTTATTTCAATGTTATTTGAGAACACATATTTTATTCTATCACCGATGTTCTGAATTTCTGGTTGAGGTAGTTTTTCAACGATGTCTTCTAATCTTATAGTAGAGATATCGTTTTCTGCTATCTTAAAACAGGATTTTCCGTTTATGGATCTCAGAGAAGCAACTTCAATATCATCCTGCGCGTATAGTTTTTGTACGACACAGACATATTTATAAAAAAAAACTTTCTTTTTCCCTCCCATAAACTTAGCCAAAATGAAGTCTCCAACATGTATATCATCATATTGTAAATTCGTGGTTAACCCTGAAGTCTTTCTTGATTTCAAGCGGATCAATGGAATATGGTCATACTCATCTTCATCTTCTTCTCGTTCCGAATAAATGTTGACATCATCCAAACTATCCCCGCTTTCCACCCACTCTTCACCTGAATCTGATGAGTCGGAAGGTAAAACTTTCTTCTTTTTGGCTTTTTGTTGAATTTGCCTGGCTTTCTCTTCCTTTTTTCGTTTCCTTTCTTCCGCTTTATTTTTTTTTTCTTCCAACATTTTATCTTTCTCTCTGGCCTTTTTCATATGGTATTCCTGCCATTTTTCTGAGGTGATAGCAGATGGAATTTTTTCTTTTTTTCGTTTTTTTTCTGAACTAATTTCTTCAGGCCAGAATAGCGCCTTCTTGAAGGGTGTGGGAACTTGTTCTTTTAATGATGAAAGATTTAAGGGTGTTATGGATTTCGATGAAAGGGGGTTAGTCGCAGACAAGATAGCGGAAGCGGGCGTTATTTGTTTTTCTGGAGTAGCGAGAGTGTCATAAGGATCTATTGTGGGATTTTCTTCTGCCTGATGTCCCAGATGTAGACCTGAACATCCCGGCTCCGATATATCATTATCTTTTTGTTGCAGAACTTCTCCATTCGAATTATTCGCTTCGATAGCTTCTGCAATAGTATCTTCTTTTCCAAGGTTGTTTTCATTGCCTGGTTTGACTTCTTTGTCAACTCTCATGTTACTGATCGATTCCAGTTTCATTGCCGACCATACATTAAATAGTGAAGTATCTTCAATGTTTCCAGTCCAATCAGCTTTGAAATTAGCTCTAAATCTTTCTAGTTTTTCGGAGGGAATGGTTTTCTCCAAGACCAAAAGTCCTTCTTTTGCTTTGGGAAATTGTTTAGTGTTTGCTGATTGGGTAGAAATTTTTGAAAATTTCACATTTTCAACATTGAATGGACAAATACCACAGCCCCTAAAGCCATTTTGTATCGTCTCTTTTGTGATTTTTGATAAGGCCTTCTCAAATACGGTTCCAAAATTATCCTTCCTGAACTTAATTCCATGGTTGTCGAGATGCCAGTCTCTTACAGATGATTTCCAAAATTGCTTAAGGGGTTTGAAAACCGCCACATCCATGGGTTGGATTAAATGAGTCGAGTTGGGATATAAGGCAAATAGTTCAATTCCGTTTCTTGAACAGAATCGTGATAAATGTAAAGTCATATGCGACACATGGCCATCTATGAACATTAAAATCGGTCGTTTAATTTTTTGACTTTCTAGCCACGGAACAAACACGTTAGTTACGTATTCAAAGAAGGTAGCGCCACACATCCAGCCACTTTCTGACCGACCTAATCCCCAAGTTTTATTGATACTGATTGCTATATTGCTTGGAATACGTTCATACTTGAAAATTACCATGGGCGGAGCAAATTCTCCAGCGGCATTTGCTGTCACCAGAACTGTGAGATTCTCTTTTTCGTCATTTGTTCCAGCATTATACACACTCTTATCTCCTTTTCTTGCCAATACTTTGTCTGCCTTTGGCTGTAGAAAAAATGCACTCTCATCGGAATTGAAGACTCTTGTAGGATCGTTGGTTATCTCAAACAGGTATTTAGACTTTAAATAAAGCTCTATTTCTTGGAACCATTGTCGAAGCTGTTGTTCAGACACTTTTTCACGAGCAGGTGTTAAATTTTGGGCTACCCTCTTACTCAAAATTGGATGCCTTTTCATGAACGAGTCATACCACTTTCGGCCTGGACGGAAATTGGTAAAAGGGTTTGGACGTTTATCGTCTCGAATTATCAATTGGACGCTATCCAACAATTGTTCCTTATTGACTGGATGATGTGCCTTAGCCATCGAAAGAATCCATTTTTCGAGAAGATTCTCTTCATTGGTGGTCAGAATGGTGCTGGGTCCCATTCGGCAATCCACTGGTAACTTTCCTTGTGATTTATACATCAGCGTCACTCTAGGAACAGAGTGTAGTCTAGCAGCCTGGGCTACAGGTGTTCCTCTTGCCACAGCTTCAAGAGCTGCATTCATCTGCTCTTTCGTGTAATTTTTTTTTGGCGCCATATCTGAAATATACAATGACAATGCTTCAACAAGATCTAGTTTGTTCTGTCGGGTCCACGTTTATACGTATTTTATTGGGTATTCGCCAAAGAGGCGTAATATCAACCTACCCAATGAAACACATATTTCGTTGCTCCAGTAATTGACATCTTATGTACCAGTAACTGACACCCTGTCAATAACTGGACCCGATTGTTTTTTTGAAGCCATATTTATAGGGAAGCTTACACACTCATACTTGCGTATCTTAGCATTATCCACTGAATATGCATCGATGTACCAGTCATTGACACTAGTGTCAATGACTGGTGATATTAGGTTTAGACTTGATCCAGTCATTGACACCTCAGCAACCTGGCACTAGATGATTTATGCCCACAGAAATATGATAGAAACAATACCTCATAGTCTAGATGAGCCCCCCAAATACTTATAAAACATCAAACATAATTTCAGCAATTGTTTAAATGCATCAATTAATTTACTTACCTTAACGATTTGCTTAACGTTTTTCTCCAGTCACAGACACTTTGCAAATGGCGGCATGAAAACTGAAAATGGAGTTTGGCGATTCAACTCCCAATCGGTACAGGGTTGCCAAACCTTCTATTCTTTAAGATTTTTTACGTAAATATACTCTGTTCACCAAGATGATCTTATTTTTGAATTAAATGTGGCTCAGTGTCAATTATTGGATCAGTGTCAATAATTGGTACGTTTACCTTATCATAGAAGAGGTATCAATAAGTTCTAGAAATACAACCCGATTCTAGTATAATTTAGTATAATTAACTTATTGCCTCTAGAACCTCTGTAAATAGTGGTTTTACGAAGATCACAGAAGAGTCGCAATGTTTCAGATTTGTGAATAGTTCAACCCAATTTAAAAGAAAATATATACAAAATAACTTACCTCTAATATTGGCAGATCAAAAATATAAAACTTATATCTTACTGAGCAATGCAGATAGATAGTAGACCTTTAAAGAACAGAAATGAAATACTAGCAATTTTATTTTGATTCTTATCACGAATGAAAAAAACACCTTTGCATGGGTTTTTTGTTTCGAAAATATGGCTGTTCCGATAAAATATAGATAAGGTGTTAATAAAGGAACAATAGCCAAACATATTTTAGTGGAGATGCTTGAATATATTTCATTTTATTTAAATATTTTTTTCCACCTAGATTGCGAAAATATCGCACTGTGCAGCGTCTCTTGCCAAAACGTCGGCATATAATCGTCTATAATCCATATTGCTGAAGAAGAAGAAGACGACGACGACGTCGACAATCCACTTCTTACTTTTCAAGCAGAATCGGATGATTTTGAACCACCCAAGAAGCCGGCAAAATGAACTATTTAAATCCAACAATCTCCCAATGCTATCTCTTGCCTACACACATTTATTATAATAATTACATAAAAATGTTGATAAATTACATTGTAAATATATTTCTTGTCAGGGTGAGAACTTAACAGAGCTGTGCGAAAAATGCAGTTGGCCCTTTTTTTTTGGTTCTGGGTTAATCTACTTTTTGAACGTAAATAACATGTTTCATGATAGAACGCATAGTTGGAGTTGTAGTGGAAAAACCGTGTGAGAAGTGCGGACATTTTGTGGTTTTGCGAGTACCACAAAGTTAGCTCAGGTCTTTCGAAGCTCGAAACTTGAATATACACCACTGATAGAGGTCCTAACAACATAATAAAAAATCAGAACTAGCCGTTAGTTTGCGATTTTATCAATTTCTCGTGTACTATATGACTGGCCTATTATGTCCCCCATTTTCTTTACACCTCCCATTTTGTAATTCTCCAGTAAGCCTGTTGTCCATAGTTCAATAAACCTTATTTGCTTGTCATTCTCAGCAGTAACAAAACAAAATGTCCAAGAGACAAGCAGAAGATGCGGGCTCAAGCAATAACTTGCCGCCCATAAAGAAAATCCATTTTGAACCCCACCTGATTGGCCCCGTTTCAACACTCGAGGAAATGGATATCAAAGTGTTGCGGTTTCAGAATAAGAAGCTTGCACAGGTAAACAATTCACTGCCATTTTTAGATTGTGGCAATAAAAACTGTATTTGATTTCATAGAGAATAGAACAAAGATGTAGAACCGAACAGGAACTGAGGCAGAGAATAGAGCAGTTGGAGAAAAGACAAACCCAAGATGATGCTATGCTTAATGTGGTTAACAGATACTGGAACCAACTTAATGAAGATATCAGAATACTTCTTCAACGATTTGATGCTGAAACAGCTGATGAATCAGAAAATAAAAGTAAGTGAAACTATTAATTCTCAATTGTGAGTTAAAATAACTATTTTGTCAACTTGCAGATGAAAATGAAGCTACAACATCTTTCCTGATGCAACTATCTACTTGGGATAAGGATGAGCTCAATGATAAATTGGCAAACCGAGTCCAGGTCTCAAGAAGAGCTGTAGCTAAAGTTATACAAGCTTTTGATCGACTACTGCAGAGGAATGAAAAAGTGACTCTGGCATTAAAAGGCCAAGTTGATGGGCGTAAGTATATTATATTGAGCATGAGGGCAAACTGTTTCCAATGGTAAAGATTAGGAAAATGTTAACCAGTTTGATAAAGGGACCAGGGAATAGTATTTTACATTATTATCCAGGTAAAACAGTTCTTTTTACTACCCCCTACTGCAAAAAGTTTTTGTTGACCCCTAAACAAGATAGAAAGAATTTTTTCAGTGGAGGTTTGTATACATACAGGATGATTCAAATGGGGATCTCGGAAACAGTAATGGATACGAGTTCATTTAAATGAAGGAAAAGTTGCGCAATTTCTTGCTCAACAAAATGGCGCTTCAAAATTTGGAAGATTTCTTAATTGCATATTCGGCGTTTTTTTTTTCCTGGGCTGGGCTTATTTGAATAGATATTTCGAAATAAATTTCATCTCATTGTAGCAACTTTTTCCCCTTTTCACAATAGTGTAGCTAGATTTGTATTTTGATATTTTGGTTAAAGGACGTCCCATTTCTGAACATAAGAAAAGTTTACAGAAAGTTGTGACAGTTTTACAAAAATATGGACTTACATTAAATTTTGAAACCTGCGAAATCGGTATGAAGGAACTTAGTATATGGGAGTATCTATTAGTAAAAATGGAATTGGAATAAGGCCAGATAATCAAGTTTAAAAGCTATCGTAAACTATGTGGCACCAATAAATAAAACAGGAGTAAGAAGGTTTTTGGGAATGTTTACATATTTTTCAGAACTTATTAAAGATGCATCTTCAAAATCGAAAGTTCTAAGGGAATTACTACACGAAAAAAAAAGTTTTGTTTGGAATGAAAGTCATAAAAAATGTGTTGAAAATCTAAAACAGGAAATTATTTCAGCACCAGTTCTTGCCAATTATCAGACTAATTTTCCTAACAGAATAAGTGCAGACGCTAATGCTTATGGAATTGGAGGAATGTTGGAAGGAACAACTACAAGAAAATGGATTATGGAGACCTGTATATTTTTGTTCGAAAACTTTAAGTGATGCAGAAAGAAGATATGCACAAATTGATAAAGAAACATATTACCTTTGTTTTGGTTCGAAATTTGGAACGGTTCTTGGATTGCGCAGAACTGCTTGCACACAAAAAATAATAAGAGGACTGTTCTAATACTAGTTCTGAACCAATTCTGAACCAAAAAAAAAAACAAACGCCGCAAACCAAAACAGTTCCTCCTCCAGAGCAAGAACTGAGAGAACCAAGGAGAGAGCGGTTCTAGAACAATCCCAGAATTGTTCTCAAATAGTTCTAGATAAACCAAAACACTGTCAACATCTTATGAAGTATGATTATGATGTAGAGTATGTTCCTGGAAAAGAGTTTTATTGTCCAGATGCATTATCAAGAAGTCCTTTGGATGAAGGTGGGAATGATAAGGATATTATATTAACAAATGTCTCCATTATAGCCTCAATATCAAATGAATTTACCATATGTTCATAATTTAGTACGACAGATTTTCGACTACAACAACAACAAGATGAAGTTTTAAAGATGGTGAAACCATATTCTGTCAGTGAATGGCCTTCTAAACAAGATTTCCCTGAAAAATGTCTGATTTATTACAAATTTAATAGTAGATTATACCACGAGTCAATAATGATAGCTAATAATCCCGAGGAATATTTACGAACTGAGCCGCGTTAGCGGCGAGGGAGTAACATTCCGAGGGAATAATAGCTATTATTGCGAGTAGTATACTCTACTTTATTTACGACAAATTAATTTATTTGAAATTTTCTTTCCAAAAACGCTCTTTGTTCATCCATCTCAATACAAATACACAAGCACTACGCGTTTGACACTGACACTTTTGAGTTTGTTCAGGTATATTGTTTCCATGGTACTAGTTATTTAATTTGAGAAATTTTGTGATTGGTGTGCAAGCGGGAATAATGACCATTAATCCCTGCGGGAATAATATATGACATTATACTGCCAAAGTCACAAATATAATGCTTACATTATATGTCAGTCGTAAATAAAAAAGATTTCACTGTAGTTGACGAAATTTTGACATATCAAAATCGAATTGTAATACCCAGAAATTTAAGAAAAAAATGTCTAAAAGATTTGTACTCTGGTCATTTTGGGTTAGAAGATGTAAGGCGCGAGCAAAGGAAACACTTTGGTGGCCTTCAATAAATTATCATATTGAAGAAAAAGTTAATAACTGTGAAAAATGCCTTTAACATAAAAATCCAGGAGTTGAACCTGTGATCTATTTAAATGTACCTGTTTTACCTTGGAGCATAGCCGCAGTAGATTTATTAGAATACCAAGGAAACCAATACTTGTTTATACAGGATTATTATTAGTTGATGGGATGGCCAGAAATGTTTTTATTGAAGAACTTAAACTTAAAATCGGAACGGTTATTAATTGTTTGAAAGAGACCTTTGCAAGATATGGACCGCCAAAAATACTTAGATCAGATAATGGAAGACAATTTGATAGTTACCAATTTGAATTTTTTGCAAAAGATTATAACTTTATATGGAAAAGTAGCAGTCCCAAATATTCACAGTCGAATGGAGAAGCAGAAAATGCAGTGAAATTAATTTAAAAGATTTTTAAGAAAAGTGATGATTCCTATGTTGGTTGACTTGCGTATAGAAATACTAAATTAAATTGTGGTGCGTCACCTGCTCAATAGATGATGGGTCGAAATCTAAGGAAAAATTTGCCTGTATTAGATGAAAAATTAATTCCAACATTGCCGAATCATAAAGAAATTAGAAGAAATATGATAACTGAAACTTAATAACAGAAGAAAAATTATGATAAACAACATAGAGCAAAGGAGTTAGATGAATTAAATGAAGGAACAAGAGTTTTTATAATAACAGAAAACAAAGAAGGAAAAATTGTTAATACACGAAAAGATGAACCAAGATCTTACATCGTGGAAACTGATACTGAGATGTCAAGAAGAAATAGACATTTACAACCACTACCAGAAAATAATGAGATTATTGAACAGGTCATGACACATCATCAAACACTTAATAGACCTGATTCTGAACCAACTACTTCCATGGTAACAGAAGATCAAAATAAAAGAGATAAACAGTAAAACCACAGCAAACAAGATGGAAGAAACTATACAAGAGACAAAAATAGAGAAGCGTTTTCCCACCAAATTCAAAGATTATTTAATGTAATATGTAATTGATTTTTGTCAGTGTGCATTCCTTTGTTCTTGGTTCCTATAATTTCAATTATTTCAGCCTTGTTTAAATTTTGAAAACCTGCAAAAGCAAAGTTTTCAACCTTGGTACCAAAAATCGTTTTATCGTGAATTTAGCCAAACTCATTTGCACAGTTTCGTTTTTTTTTGCTTCATAATTACTAGGGTTTATTTAGGCTCCTGGCAAGAACAAATTTTATTTGTTAAAAAATTTATAACAAAAACATTGTTTAAATTACCCATAATGTTAGAGTTCTCCTCAGAAGACGCCCCGACAGTGGATGAAGCCATCAGACAAACCAATATCCAGCTTCAAGCAGAAAACCGAAATTTGCAAGCTTTGCACACTTCTCTGCACGAAAAATATCATACCAACAGCCTCAAAGTAGCCGAGCTACAGGATTCTGTAACCGCCAAGGAAACAGAAACTGCCGAATTGAAGAATCAAGTGGACGATTTGCAATATGAACTAGAAAAGGTCAGAAATAGAAATGACAAGCTGGAAACCCATTTAGCCGAAGCTGTGGAAAAAATTAAGGCTTATCATCAGATGCATGGTGACCCAGAAAAGGCTGGGGCTACCACCAAACCTGAAAAGGCAGTAGTTCAAAGCAGTGTTCCACAGGCAAAACTTGAAGATTTAACAAAAGAAGTTGAAGAATGGAAAGAAATGGCAAATAACAGACTGCAGGAATTGGATAAGCTACACCAAACGCATAGAGAAACATTAAAAGAAGTCGAAAAATTGAAAATGGATGTAAGTAATTAATATAAAATAATAAATTCTAATACATTTTCATGACTTTGCAGATAAGACAATTACCTGAAAGTGTCATAGTGGAAACTACGGAATATAAATGCCTACAGTCTCAGTTTTCCGTATTATACAACGAATCCATGCAGCTTAAAACCCAACTTGATGAGACGAGACAACAGCTTCAGACAGGCAAGAATGCGCATATGCGAAATATCGAAGTGATGGAGGTAAGAAAACACCTACATAATTTTTCCATCAGAATGTATACTGAAAACACAGTCATACACTAGAAGATTGAGCAAACTCATACACACATTCTGTAACAAACTAAACCAATACTTGATCTTTTTGCTCGTTTGATGTGACATACTTTTCTTAATAAATTAAATTTAAACTTGAAGATTCATATTTGTATAAATTTTTAAATCAATTAAAATAAATTTTGTTTAGAGTGACGAGTTAAATGCTCAAAAGAAGTTGCGCCAAGAAGTGATGCAGCTAGAAGACTTTTTAGCTCAATTGAGAAAAGAATATGAAATGCTAAGGATTGAATTTGAGCAAAATTTAGCGGCCAATGAACAAACTGGACCGATCAATAGAGAAATGAGGCATTTGATCACTTCTTTGCAGAATAACACGCAACAATTGAAAGGTTTGTATTGGACAAACTGTTATGACATGAATTTGATTTGTGGTTATACTTTTCTTCAGGTGAAGTTACCAGATATAAGCGAAAATACAAGGAAGCCAACACTGAAATACCCAAATTGCGCAAAGAAATTGAAGAGTTGCAAGCTAAGTTGGCCCATAAGGCTGGAACTCACCATCATTCTCACCAAACAGATTCTAAGGAAGGTATTAAAAAAGAAGAAATAAAAGAAGAACTTGATGTCAAGGAAGAAGGTTAGACTTTCTACAAAAACTTCACAATAGTTTAATTTATATTTTTAATCAAGGTGGAGCTCAGGTCAAGGAAGAGCCAGGTACAGCTGACGTCAAAAAAGAAACGGAAGATTCAGACGTAAGCAAACACTATAACAAAATTTTAATCATAAGGTAAAACTTAATTATTGTTCATAGCCAGTACAAGAGGGCGAAGGTGATAAGAACCAAGCTTCAGGATCTGGAGACAAAAAGGACATCAAGCAAGAAAAGCCTGTCATCAAGAAAGAGCAACAAATCAAAACTGAAAAGGAACGAGAGGCGCAGAGAATAAAGGAAGCAAAAATTGTAGAAAGCGAAATTGTTCGAGATCTAAAAAATCAGCTAAAGTGAGAATATATTTATTGAATCAATAATTTTTGGCTAGCTGTTTGCTATTTTATCATTGGGTTTTTCTGTGTAACTTTTCACATACTTTTTCTTCTAGGAAAGCTCTAAACGAACAAAAGGAAATGAAGTTGCTGTTGGATATGTATAAGGGAGTTAGTAAGGAGCAGAGAGACAAAGTACAGTTAATGGCAGCGGAAAAGAAACTAAGAACGGACTTGGACGAATTGCGACAGGTGTTAAAAAAAATGCAAGTAAGTATAGTTTGAATAATGTGTTATTATGAAAACATCATTATTATTACTATTATTATTGGTTTACAATAGAAAGTTATTCAAAATCGATGAGCCCATTGAATGAAGTTTTGTTTGCCAATAAAAATAAAAACATCAAGACATAGATTAATTGTCCATAAGTTGGTAACAAGCTTCATATTGATAAATTTATATAAACTTTTTCACTACCACATTAACCTACGGAATTTCAAGTAGCCCAGATATATTTCAGTCAACCATGGAACAAATCATAAATGGTCTAAAGTTTGTAGGAGTTTGTTTAGATGATCGGGTAGTTGTAGAAAAAAAAAAGAAAATTTAAATTAATTAATTAAATTAAACAAAAGTGTATCTTTTTCAGGCAGAATTTTTGGGTAGTAAGAATGGTATTAATATAAAACCAATGAAATCCAAAATAAAATAAATTATTATTGCCCCCGGTTCCTACAAATGTGACACCCATTTATCCACGGGCCGGTTTAAGGTCGATAAATAGCAAAATAACGGTCAGTCTGAAGTTTGTGTAATAAGCCAAGGCTGTTATTTGTAGTTATCGGCCGTGTTTCGTTCTAAATTTTTTCTATTTTTGTGTCATATCGAAGTCTTTTCGACACTAAAAGTAGTTTCGAAAAGAAGCTCTTTGTGACACTCCTTTTTTACTTATCGGAGGTTGGTAACACTGGCTGACTGATGGCCATCGAACTGTCATTCGCGATTTTATAATAGAAGATTTCTATATTTGGCATGTAGTGTTACCAACCTAAACTATGAAATCAGGAAATATGAGAATAAAATTTCCAAGAAATTTTTTTTTTTTTTTTTAAATTAGACAATACCAAAATAGAAAAAACAGTATAAAATATTCGTTTCATAAGACATTTAAAATGACGTCTTATGAAACTTGTATTTTAATGTACTATTTCGTCATACTGCAGATATCTTTCAATCTGACATAAAAAGAAAAAAAACAATCCTATAGGGGTTTTAATACACCTTTTCGGTTTCGTTCGTTATAGTAGTATGACGAAAACATATAAATAACGGCCATTTTCAAATATACCTCTATAGGAGAGTGTTTTTTTTTTTGTCAGTTTGAAAGATACCTGCAGTATGATGATGAAAAACACATGAAAAATCTTGAATGAAGCAGTGTTCTCACGAGAACAAATTGTCTGTCTTTGTTGCGCATATGAGATTTTTCATGGAACCGAGGACAGGTCACTTGTCCTCATTGGAAGCCTGCTTCCTTGTTTTGCGAATCAGGCACCTACATTTTTTAGTGACGGATAATGGACCGCTATTTAGCGAAGAATTTCATATGTTTTTGTAGTTGGTTGCAATGGAATATAATACGTAGTCAACACAATTCATAAATCTTTAACTAGCAAACGTCTTGATGTTGCAGAAGACATTCAACGAGTTTTTGTGGCTATTCGATCATTGGATCTAGTAGTTCTAATTTCATCCTAGGGGCAATCTTTGTTCCTCCCAACTCACCAACTAAAGTATATGTTACATTTTCTGAAACCTTGGACTCGGTTGCACTCCAGATACCGGGCTCCACCCTACATGTTTTTGGTGACTTTAATTTGCCGCTCGCCTCATGACGAAGGGGCAACTACAGTTCCTCGGTGACTGCTATGGTGCCCTCGGATATTGCATGTGTTCAGATTATGTCAAACGTACGACTGTTTTTTAATATATCCAGTTTTTCACCCACCTTTAAGTGTTATTTTGAGAGCGTACTGCTGCGACGCTACTGAGAACTGTCTTGAATTTGATGGTTTTTATAGAGAATTTTTTCCTACTTATTTTCAGGATCAGGATACTGTTATGCTCCTAAATCAATTTAATTGGGACTTTTTACTTTGTAATCAAGCTCTTGATACGATGTTGAATATTTTTTATGAAATTATCTATATTGCCATTGATAAATTTGTACCTTTGAAAAAGTTCTCTGCTAGAAAGTTCCCGATATGGTTTTCAGTCGACTCAAAAAACTATGTAATTCTAAAGAAAAAGCTCATAACAAATACAAGTCATCTAGCTTTCATGTGGATTATCGTGAATTTTCTAGGCTGAGACAGCTGTGCAAGAGCTTGACACAGGAATGCTATCAAAATTATATTCACGGGACCGAAATGGCTATTTACTCCAACATAAAAAAATTCTGGTCTTTTGTAAATAATAAAATGAAGAGCAATGCTTTTCCTAGCAAACTTAAATATAGTGCCAGGTCAAGTTGTTCGGATGGGGAGATTGCGGACATGTTTGCAGATTATTTTTCCTCAGTCTATTTGAATAACCACCATGATATCCTTACACATGATTTGCCTTCATCTATAGTCCATATACCGAATCATCATATACTAATATTTATTTATTTATTTATTAATTCAATTGAATTTACAAACACCAAAATTTGGGTTTTACATGTAAAGTAACAGGGTGGCCCAAATTCGAACCTCATCATTGGGATCTCGGTAACCGTAAGAGATACGGGGTCGGTTGAATTATGGCAAAGTTGCGTAATTTTATGACCAATAGAATGCCGTTTTGAAACAAGAAAGATTCCGAATACTTCCGGAGATATTCGGAAAAAACCGAAATTGTGTAAAATCGTTTTTATTTTTTCCCAGGCTTATTTGAAGAGCAATTTCAAAATAAATGTAACTTCATCATTGTTACTTTTTCCCCTTTAGAAGATGGTGCTACTAAATTTAAAATTCCACGTTTCGTCTTCAGGTGGCCATCCTCAACTTCCTTTTTTTAAATACGGACCTGAATTTTTTATTTGCGATTTTGTCATCTTTGGGCATCCTAAAACCAATACTGTTTAAAATTTTTCAATAACACGTTTAAAAATGCAGGTCCGTATTTAAAAAAAATAAATTGATGATGATTCCAGAGGAACGAAACGTTGGATTTCAAATTTAATACCGCCATCTTGTAGAGAAGTAAAAGTGACAATGGGAATGTGGAATTAGTTTTTCAAAATCTTTCGAATGGAACCAGGAAAAAATTTAAGAAAAACGAGAAATTCATGATTTTTTCGTATAGTTTTCATTTTTTCCTGATTTTATTTAAAAAGATTGTGAAAAACTAATTTTACATTCCCATTGTCACTTTTTCTTCTCTACAAGATGGCGGTATTAAATTTAAAATCCAACGTTTCGTTCCTCTGGAATCATCACCAATTTATTTTTTTTTAAATACGGACCTGCTTTTTTTACCGTATTATTGAAAAATTATAAACAGTATCGGTTTAAGGATGCCAAAAGATGACAAAATCGCAAATAAAAAATCCAGGTCCGTATTTAAAAAAAGGAAGTTGAGGATGGCCGCCTGAAGACGAAACGTCGAATTTTAAATTTAGTAGCACCATCTTCTAAAGGGAAAAAAGTGACAACGATGAAGTGACATTTATTTTGAAGTTGCTCTTCGAATAAGCCCAGGAAAAAATAAAAACGATTTTACAAAATTTGGGTTTTTTCCGAATATCTCCGGAAGTATTCGGAATCTTCCTAGTTTCAAAACGGCATTCTATTGGTCATAAAATTGCGCAACTTTGCCATAATTTAACTGACCCCATATCTCTTACGGTTACCGAGATCCCAATGATGAGGCTCGAATTTGGGCCACCCGTTCACTAAACACTAAACACTACAATTAGTGCGGCAGCTTAGCTAGGATATTTCAACATATTGTGCACTTTTTGATAAAGGCACCAAATTTGGCACAGAGGTAGACCGATGTAATATGAACAAATTTGTATGTGGAGCCATCGGCCAACAGTCCCCACAGGGTGGGACACAAAAAACTTCCCACCTAGGTTTCCTCAGGTCTCGTCTCAGGTTTCAGGTGATTAATCAAAAATCGCTCGAATTCGTTATTTTTTGTTTTTTAGGGGACACATTTTATTGGTATTTCCATCCTCTACCTGCCAACCCCTAACTGGGGATACCCGCAAAATTTCAAATGGAAAGGGGGTTCCAGTGATACAATGTACCATTTCCTAACTTTCACAAGCCACAATTTTGGCAAGGTAAATAGTAGCAACTTACAATTTCGAGGATACAAATTTCAATAAAAAATTCTACCAAATTACGTATCACCCGACCCCCCTTTCTGTTCGAAATTTTGGAGGTACCATCGTCACCAAAAGTAACTGGGACACAAATAATGCATAATAATCTCCTGGACTAATTCTACTGTCATTCATTTCAATGCATTTAATGCATAGTTTGACAAATATTTGACAATAAAATTCATATAATAGGACAAGAGCTAATGTGATGCTGCCCCAGTTACTTTTGGTGACAATGGTACCTCTCACCGACGCGTAGGGGTTGACAGGTAAGGGGTGAAAATACCAACAAAATGGTCGGGCGATTTTTGATTAATCACCTAGCACCTGAGAAAACCTGGGTGGGACGTTTTTCATGCCCCATCCTTTTTATACAGGGTGTCCCACGACGTTTTACAGTCCAACGACGTTTTATCCAGGTGATAACTTCAGAACGCGTCATCGAGTACACTTTGTAATTGTTCATCATTTTCTTCGACAAAGCCTTAGCAAATATGGCATTGCCGATTTTGTAATTTAATTTTCTAACGAAAAATTATGTAAGACCATCAGTTACATTTAAGATTCTAAAGTTGCCGTCACTGAAGCGAAAGTGAAATTGGATGACAATAGTAGAAGCGGCACCAAAAGTTACCTATCAGATCCTCAAAATTTCAATTATATATTGGATGACGTATTCCGAAGTTATCACCTGGGTAAAACGTCGTTGGACACTTTGTATCTACAGGGCGCGGCACGAAAAACTTCCCACCCAGGTTTTCTCAGATGTTAGGTGAATAATGAAAAATCGCTCGACCATTTTATTGGTATTTTTACCCCCCTACCTGTCAACTCTTAAGCGGTGGTGACAGTGGGGTCGAGTGATACGTCATTTGATGGAAAGTTTTATTAAGAATATATCCTCGAAATTTAAGGTTGCAGCAGGGTAAATAGTCCCTGCCGAAATGGCAGCTCGTCAAAGTTAGGAAATATGTAGTACATTGTATCACTCGAGCCCCCTTTCCATTCGAAATTTTGCGGGTAGAGGGTGAAAATACCAATAAAATGTGTCCCTCAAAAAACAAAAATTGACGTGTCCGAGCAATTTTTGAGGTATCACCCACGACCTGAGAAAGCCTAGGTGGGAAGTTTTTCGTGCCCCACCCTGTATAACTTACAAACTATCTGGCATGTTTTCATAAAAAACAATCAATAAACATTCACTAAAACCTTCAGTAGCAAACTTTATCCAACTTCCGTTGTCTTTCGGGGCGGGGTGTCCACTGGCGGCCATTTTGGAAAATCGCCGCCGGGGGCAGTTGGCCGATGGCTCCACATCCAAATTTATTCATATTACATCGGTCTACCTCTGTACCAAATTTGGTGCCTTTATCAAAGAGTGCACAATAGCTTAGCTAATCCGCTGTACTAAATGCCTCTTACAGCTTAATGGAAAAAAAGCTGACTATCAAAAATAACTAAGATTAATCCAATAGAATATAAAAATAAAAAGACAGAAACAAGAATCTCACTTGCCTCGTATACTTAGGTGAGTAAGATTTTTAAGGCGGTTATACAGTACTCTAAAACATTGAAAAGTGCTTCACGGTATTATATACCAGAAAAGTTTATCCTATAACAGCTGATTATCGCATTGGGGGCGTGGTTTTAAAAAGAAATTTTGAAAACACAGATTTAGGAGTCTGCTATCTAGCAAATTTAAGCTTCAACAAGCAATATCAACAACAGAAATTTCGAGTCTACAATAATCATTAGACTGTATAATTTGTCTTGTACGTCCACACTTAGAATATGCATCTATTGTATGGGCACCTACAACTGTTGTAAGCATTGACTGGATAGAAAAAGTCGAGAAGAGATTTTTAAAATATTTGTATGTGAAACAGAATAATATCTATCCTTTTATGGTATCATACAAGTCATTGCTTGAAACTTACAGATTGGAAACTCTGGAAAACAGAAGAAACATAACATACAAACTGTGATATTTATATATTTTATCCAACACATGACAGTTATGACTGTTATTATCGATGTCATTCTAGACAAGTAAACTATCAAATAACACACTAGTGTGTTATAATCCATTATAACTCCATTATAACTCACGTTCATATTTGAAATAGTATTCTATTTATTTAACCAGTAACGACATATTTTTTATAACGTTCTCGATAAGCCTCCATTATAGTTCAAGCACAAATCTCGAAAACATCCACAAAGTTGAATAAAAATCCCCACTCCCAACAAAACTTTGAAAACTTTGGATGACAAGATGACAAGGGAATGACAAAATAATGTAGCCATTGTTGAAATCAGAACCGCCACTAGCGCCACCACCCGGTTAGGCTCCATATAAAAAAGCAACAGTTTATTTGGTTGCCTAAAAACTCATTTACATGGGCACTCATTTAAGTTTCCTGTATATTTTTGAGTGGTATGTGCTTTGACCAAAATGTAAAAAAGTCACTGTCAAGTCATTCTGACATTTATAGGGTACTGAGACGCAAGTAGCTTTGATTTGATCACAAAGCTTATTTTAATCATTATCTCATAAAAAAACGATTTGTTCCACTTGTTGGATAAAACATTGTATGCCACTCGTGTGTTATGCTTCCTAAGTCACTTGAGAATTTATACCACTCGGCCTGACGGCCTCGTGGTATAAATGTTTCTCGCGTGACTTATTTTCAACATAACACACTAGTACCATAAATAACTATTATTCTATCGTGAACGGTAAACTATCATTTAATCGACTCAAAACTCCTGTTACTTTAACACTTTATTTGAAGTAGTGAAATCGAACAATTTTTACCAACTCATTTGTCAATTTTACCCACTCATACTTCAATTTTACCCACTCTTACGTCAATTTTACCCACTTGTTCAAATCTTTTATAATAATTATAGTGTTTTTGACAGAAATCTGTTATGTTGCATGATTGACAACACCCGAAATGTGTCAGTTTGTTAGGTACTTTGTCAACTTGTCATAATCTATGTAAAATTTTAGCATATTTTAGTTTATGATTTTAGTAATAGGGAACTTGCAAGTGAACTAAAATTTTCTAAGTTTCGATGGTTTATACTGCATAATATTTATAGGACCAGTTTTTATTTAACTGATGCAGCTCTTGTTACACAAAAAATATTGCTAAATTTGAAATAAAAAATTTCCCGCCAAAACAATGCTTCCATGATGGCTACCTTTTTGACGTCACGATTCTGTAAACAAACCTGTCAATAGGGAAAATGCAAGTGAAATAAAGTTTTCAAATGCAGTCCTTCACAATATTTTTCATTTATTGCGACAATTTTCACAAAAGCAAACTTTAACACACTTTTCGCGCCAAAGTTTTTGATTTGAATTTCAATAATTTTTTTTCGTACAATGTATAAATTAAAATGGAAAAAAAGAAAACTATGTAATATTTGATCACTAGAAGTATCTAAAAAAAAATAAATTAGAAAATATGAAAATTCCCTATTGTGATAAATAAAAAGTTACTCAAGAATAAAATAGAATATTACACACGATGGTAAAAAAGCTTTACCTGTTCGTGGAATTAATCCACTCGCTCCTTCGTCGCTCGTGAATCAACATTTTCCACTCACAGGTAAAGCATCTTTTTACCGTCTTTTATAATAAATAACTATTATTGCAAATAATTTAAAATACAAAGATTGTGAACTCATAAACCTAATTAAGTTTAGGGTTCCAAAAATTAATTTAAGAATCCTAAAAAAAGAGATCTTTTCGTATTCAAGTCAGAAAGTCTATCTTCTTTAAACAATATGTTACAGATATGCAAGAACATTTTATCTAGAAATGACAGCGATACACATATTTAATATTCCACAGTCAAATAAACTCTAAATAAATCTCCCTCTTGTTGTTCAAGGAAAATAAGCGAGATAACCGTAAGCTAGCCGAAGACGAGGCGCTTAAAAGGATCAAGCAACTTGAAGAACAAAAACATGAATTACAAAGGCAGGTACAATCGCAAAAACCGTCAGATGGAAACTGGCCTAGTGGCGTAGTCCATCCAATGAGACCTTTTGTTGGCTCTCATGAAGAAGAAACATTACTTAATGAAATGGAAGTTACTGGGCAAGCTTTTGAGGATATGCAGGTAAGGCCATAAAAAAAATATGAGCAGTTTAAGCCTTTAATGTTGATTATCCATTCTAGGAACAAAATTCTAGATTGATCCAGCAACTCAGAGAAAAAGACGATGCAAATTTTAAGCTGATGTCTGAACGGATTAAGTCCAATCAACTTCACAAGTTAGCTAGGGAAGAAAAAGATATTTTAAATGATCAAGTAAGTATTTTCCAAAATGCTTTATTTTAATTAAATTTGAAATGTTTTTTTTAGGTTGCAACATTGACATCTCAGGTTGATGCCATCAATTTAGTAGTAAGAAAACTAGAGGAAAAAGAACGGCTATTACAAAATACTTTAGCGCTTGTGGAAAAAGAATTGCAACTACGCCAGCAAGCGATGGAGATGCACAAAAGAAAGGCCATTGAATCAGCGCAATCCGCCGCTGATCTAAAACTTCATTTAGGTAAGAATTTCTATAACACGCTAAAAGCAAAGCTAAAAAATATGTTTGGGTGTTACAGAAAAATATCATTCTCAAATGAAAGAGGCTCAACAAGTAGTAGCCGAAAAAACCTCATCCCTAGAAGCTGAAGCCTACAAAAACAAGCGACTGCAAGAAGAAATAGCCCTGGTAAAACGCAAAGCAGAAAGAATGAAAAAGATGGAATTAGCTGGGACCACCTTGGACGAAGTCATGATGGAGGAAATTCGTGAATACAAAGAAATCCTTACTTGTCCTTCCTGCAAAGTCAAAAGGAAGGATGCGGTATTATCTAAATGCTTTCACGTATTCTGTTATGATTGTCTCAAAACCAGATATGAAACAAGGCAAAGGAAGTGTCCAAAATGTAACTGCGCATTTGGTGCTAATGATTATCATCGCTTGTTCTTGTCAAATTAAGTGTTTGCTTAGCTGTTGTGATTTATAGATAGATAGGTTAGTTTTATTTAGATATAGGAATCAATACATTTTTTTTTTACTACTTACCCAAGAAATAGTATTATTCAATCTATTTTTCTAGGAGAAAAACTTACGCACCAGTGTGTAAAGTGAATTACTTTACGCACTAATGAGTGAAGTGAACTTCTACGTATAATGACCAACTTCCTAGGTATAATATACTATTGTTTTGGTGACGGATCGCCAAGTTTTTCTTTCAATATCCAAGAAATAACTGAATGTGTTTTGCAGGTTGGACATGATAGTGTCAACGAAACTTTTTTAGGAATAACTCAAAGGAAAAATCAATTAACATAACATATTGCTCCTAAAATTCAGTCCTTACGTAATAAAGTGGATGAACTTTCTTTATTCTTAACTGATACTTCCTACCCTGTCATAATTTTATTGACAGAACACTGGTTGAGAGATTGTGAACCAATTAATGTACCTAATTATACCACTATAAGCAAGTATTCTAGAGTGAATAGGGAACTTGCACATTAAATTAAATATGAAATAAATAATAAAATACAATAACAATCATCCTAATAAATGATGCAATTAGGAAATAGTATATTAAAGCATGTGGATATTAAGGTCTTTAAAACACGCGCGATTTTTCGAGCACGACGGCGCAGCCGAGTGCCCGAAATAGAGCAAGTGTTTTAAAGACCAGTTATCCACGAATACTATACACTATTTTTTTTTATTGGTATACGTTCAAATCATAAATTACTAATAATTGTGGAATGCTGATGTTGTCATTGGTAACTTTAAAACATGCGCGTTTTTGAATGTTGAATTTAAACACGCTGAGGAGTACTTTAAATAAGTGAAATAGGTTATCAATAAAAAAAAGGATATAAGATAATATCTTATCTCTGGTTTTCAAAATCTTCAATTGAAAATACCAAATAATTCGAAATTCTTGACAAGATCAAAAACGTATTTCTATGGGTCCTGACCATAGAGAAATATAATAGTAGTAAACTACGAGAGACGTTTGTTTAATGTAACAATTTGGAAGTGTGTTTGTGCACATACCCGTAGCGTATTTCGCATGGTGTGGCAGATTATTGAACTAATTACTTCGATCGTTTCTGACAACTCGGTTTAATTTGTCTTTGTCAGCAACTTGCCCGAAAATGTTCTATCTTTTTTTAACACATACAAAATTGTCAAAATTTGACAAATTATTGAATCGTCTATGATTGAATCCGAAGACCATCAATCAAAAACTGAATGCTCATCATCATAACTTAAAATTTCTTCTATTATTTATATTAGAGAAATGAGAAAACATTCTGTGATCATAAATATTAATTAATTAGACAAAACCGACACCAATAACAGCGTGTTTTCGAATTTGCGATGATGCGAGATGCAGTAAAAAGGTAAACACAAAGCTTATAATACAAATATTTTTAGTTACTGTATATTTATAAAATTGAAATAAAAAAATAAGTTTGTTTGAAGATATCTCAATTTTTGTATTGTTCAATTACCTCCTTGACCCCCTTAAGGAATCTCATTGCATCTAATTTGGATTTTTTAAAAATAAGTTCTGTTATCGTTCTAAACAGTTGCTTGGTAAATTTTAGCAAGTTTTTTCAACAAAAGTTTTCCTTTGCAATTAACTGTTTTGAGCGTTTACAGTACTTTTTTTTAATAAATCTTAAATAAAATCAAAGTTAATAATTTTATATCCTACTGAACTATTAAAACCATATAATACCTTGGTTACGATAATCATAAACAGGGTCTTAACTCCCAAGGGAGTTAAGGATTTTCATAACTCCCAAGGGAGTTAAGGAAGGGAGTTAAGGATATCATAACTCCCAAGGGAGTTAAGGATTTCCATAACTCCCGCTTTTACCTTGAATAGGTAACACTTTGACAAAAAATAGAGATTTTGATTTATGGCTTATTCCTTTATAAAAATAGACAGAATACAGTAAATTCAGTAGGATATAAAATTATCTATGTACCACGGGAATTATCAGGAGTTAATACCCACGGGCAATTGGTGTCCCTCGGGCCGGAGGCCCGAGGGACACAAACGTTGCCCTGGGGTATTAACACCTGCATAATTCCCTTGATACATAAATAACTATAATTATTCAAAAAAGCCGCCTTTTCACTGTCAGTAAAGAAGAAACCTGCATTTAAACAATGTTCACTCTTTTATTGCTGTCCGTAGCCGCCAGAGGCGCTAACGTCGACATTGTGCCAGTTAAGTATAGTCTGGCTAGCCAAACGGCGAACTCAAAAAGAATTTGCTGCTATGCCAAACTTGACAGAAACAATAATAAACAAGTTGGTGACTTATTTTTTTTTGCAATATGGGCCGTGTAGTATTTTGAAATAGGAAAAAATCCGGCAACATTGCGAAATGATGGGTGTGGAAAGACGTGATTATTCAGAGGCATGATTCTATTGGTTAGAGTCTGAACGACAGCACCAGTGGCGTGGTTATTCGTGAAACTCAAGAATTTTTTTCCTAATAATTTTTTGGTTTATTTCCTTGGTGTTTTCGGTGCCACTGAACCCAAAGACATGGTTGTCATCAGGCAGTGTCAGTTGAGGTGTCAGTGAATATTCTTAGGTTACGCCCCACTTTTCTTCCCCCTTTCGTCTCTACCAAGTTACCACTTGCCAAACTATACAGGGGAATGACTTCTCTCGTAGTTTACTACTATTATATTTCTCTATGGAACGGAATTTTGTTGCTGAGTGACGTCACACTAATCGGTCGTTTCAAATGGCGATGTTTCGAGCGTAACTTCAAATATTTATAAAAAATTAACGGCTGATTTTTAATGCTTGATATTTGGCATGACTATGTCTTTAGTGTAGTACAACAAATTTTTGAAATAAAAAAAAAGTGCAAGTTCCCTATTCTATACATGGTGGCACCCTGATACTGATTCATGAAGGTGCTCAAAATGTTTTCAAATTTTCTAACTTCAATAAGTTTGACTGATTCATAGCAGAAATAGTATATTGTTATATTAGGAGTAGAAGCTTTACTTTTTTGTGCTGAAGCAGTAGGTTTGCGAGCCGAACGTAGTGAGGCTTGCAATACTGCTGAAGCACAAAAAAGTGCTTCTACTCCGTATGCAACACGCTATTTTTTCTCCAAACGAATGGGGTAAGCTCGGGGGCAACTGAATGGTTAAGCGGCAGTAAAAGTACGAGCGGCACTAAAAGTACTTCTACTGCCGCTGCGGTTGCCTAGCAGCATAGAAATTAAATTTCTACCACCTCGACAGGTGTTAACCCGCTGGATTTGTCTACCAGCATAGAAATTAAATTTCTAACATCTTGACAGGTGCTAACAAAGTGACGTTTTTTTGACGTTTGGAGAAAAAAGAATTTGAATATTCCATTGTTTCAAGCAAGCAGCTACATTTGTATATTTTATGTATGTATAGACCACCTTCATGTAATAGTCATAGTCATAGTCAATCATACCATTATTATCCAAGAAAAAAACATTCTATTGACAAAGCATTAACTTAAAAGTAAAACAGAAAAATATAAAATAAATCACCAATAGTAGTACAATGCAAATACAAACAAGTTAAAAAAAAATTGACAAATAGTACGGCGATCCAAGCAATATTACATGTACTTAAAACTATACTAAAATAATAAAATGTAAATAAAAGCGTTGATTGATAAAAGACAAGAGTACTTAAAAACAAAAAAGGTTGTACAGTCATACAGTGTCACTATAGTAGTCCTCCAAGCTGTAGTAAGCCTTTTGCAACAAAATATCCTTAACACTCCTACGAAATAGTTTGTAGTTTCTGATCGTTTTAAGTTCATTACTTAGATGGTTGAAAATTTTTTTGCTCTCATAGAATATTGAGTGTTTTGCTAAAGCAGACTTTGGTATAGGCATTGTATAAAAAGTATGATAAACCTCAAAATTCTCTGACGGAAAATGTTGAAGGCAACGCTCTGCTACCCAATCCAGAGAGAGAATCAGAGCAGGAATCAGAAAGTGACGAAGAAGACGAAGCCGAATAGGTTTTCCTGAAAGTATAAATTTGGAGACGTGCTCTGAAACTATGTTTGCAGGATATTGTGCCGGCAAACTTTACAAAAGCACTAATTGCGCAAAATGTAAAGATTTGCTTATTTCAAAAAGTGAATTGAGCGTAGGTGGCCAAGATACACTAATCTTTTTCAGGCAATATGAAAAAAGACCGGAATCTGTTGGTCTTTGCACTCCTACCACACTCGGTAAAATACTTTGCCATACTGCTTTGGTAACTTTTAGTAAATATTTCCAAATTTTTTTTTTTAAAAATGGTATTAAATCATTTTTAATCAGAAAAGCAGTGGCTCGTTTAAATAAAGACGAAAATATATTATTACTTTGTACCGATCACGTTAGAATGTTTTTGGATATTTTATACAATGCGAAAATTTATTCTTCGTGTAAGTCTATGAGTCGGAATATACGGGCGGATAAAAAGCTTGAAAAATCTTCGAAAAAAAACACAAAACAAGACGTTTTTGAACATAAATAATAAACACAAACAATTTGTAATTATTTTTTTTTTAAATCAAATTTATTTTTTTTAACATCTTTTCTTACTTTTTTTTTTCAACATTTATTTTCTCGTTTACGAATTGGACCAAGTTCAATTAAAGATGAAAGTATGTTAGGCCAAGCAATGAAGGAAGTTTACCTCAACATAATTAGAAGTTAACATTTTTTGGGGGGGATTGGTCCATTTTGATATGCTAAATAACATATTAAGTTTGCGACGTTGTACTTCCATAGGGTTTTTAGTTAGGGGTAATTGGCGGTTTATGGAGAAGGCTGCGCAAAGGGATGCTCCAATAGCAAAAAGTTTCAAATGATTGTTGTAGCTAAAGTTTTTTGCTATAAAAAACTCAGCGACAGTACCCCTCTATCTTCTATAGTTTTTTTTCTGCAGCGCCTTGAATAGTAGCATGTTTTTGTTCAAAGTCACGGAATCAACATTTCGCCTGTAAGCGCGCATTTGATGCAGCAGCGGCCGAATGCATAATCCGATTTCAATTTTTCAAAAACCACATTATTGCTC